ATGGTAGCTGTGAGCATTCTTTAATTTCACTGGTAATACTCAGAACTAAAACTGTTGTGACCATAATGGATTAAGTCTAATATTTACTGGTAGTTATATATCCTAAGTTATTGTCTGGTAATCATACTTAGCTATATTAAATTTCTCTCACAGTAGAAATAAGGTGATAGAACTAGGAAAAATACTCATTTGATATAGTCCAAATTTTATTTTAGTTATGTGAGTATAATTAAAAGCTTAATGAACATATTGACAGTTTTATTAGTGTTTACGTGATACCAAATAGGCTTTTAAAAACTGCTTTGTAATTGCAGGTTGAAAATAATGTTAGTAGAGATCCTTCTAGGCTTTACCGACCTACCAAAGGTTGGGAACAACGGACCAAAAACATAGGACCAACAGGCTCTAGGCCCCTTCTCCATATCCCACACAGGTAAGAAGGAGTTGGAAGGGGTGTATTCACTTTACAGAAATTTAATAATTGATGTTTATGTTCTATACAATTTGTGTATTTTATAGTAACAGACTGAAAAAACATGTACATACATATATACACATACATATATATATATACATTTATATATATACACACATATATATGTGTATATATTTTGGTGCATACAAGGGATTGAATTTGGGGATTTTGTGCTTATACCACTGAGCTATATCCTTGACCTTACATACACACATTTTTAACAGTATTCAATCAGATAAGTTTGGGCCTTGTAAAAATTTTTCCTACATATTTATAATTGTTTTTCTCTTTTTTTCCTTAGGGCTATTCCAACCTGGAGACAAGGAATTTAGAGAAAAATACGAGACAATGGAATTACTATTCACTGATGGAATTACTAGTATATTCAGTAATACCAGGAGAGTGTGACTAACCATATTCTTTTAAATATCACTAGACTAGTAGGTTGATTATTGTGCTCTATGTAAAGTGAGAGATAGTATAAGTTTCATGCTACATTATCATTAATGGCTTCTGTTTCTACTAAGAGGGTATTTAGGATATATATTGACCTATTATTGATATAAGTTATTTATATAAATTTATGTTACAAACACTATCCATTTAAATATCCAAAGCATTTCAAAGATACTTTTGTCATAGCATAGCAAAATAAATCTAGTCATAGAGAAGAATTTTTAAAAACCAAAATTTTGTAACTTTTGTAAATTGGAAGTAAGTTGGCTCGAATAACAAAAATGTCTTTTTTTTTTTAAGAGCTACAAAATAGTACTTTTTCTAAGTGTAACAAATTGGTAATTTGTCAGTTATTACATTTTTGTGTATTGTTTTGGAAGCATGTTTGTTTTAAATAGACTTTATTTTAAAAATATATCTCATATATCTGTAACTTTTATTATTACTATCTTTTGGTTTCCTTCAGCTATTCTAAATATCCTTTTAGCCCTTCTGTACTTCACCCATTTATAATGTATTTGTGTCTTTTACATCTTACTGGGTAATGCAGTTTTTTTTGTCTGCTTCTGTGTACCACATAAACTGATTTTTGATGTAGCATTTACAGTATTTTAAAATTGGTAGACAAACATTTGACCAAAAGAATTTTTAAATTTTCTAATTTTTGTAAAACAATTTTTTTTTTCTTTTAGCAGTACCAGGGATTGAACTCAGGACCTTGCACTTGCCAGACAAGTGCCTATTCTACTGAGCTATCTCCCTAGCTATAAAACAATTTAGCTTAATTCACAATTTCATTTTTATAAAAGTCTAGGTCTTTAGGTCTTAGAGGAAGGGTGCTATACACATAAAAGTACAGGAAATTTGTTACTGCTTTTATCTTGAATCTTTAATTGTAATTTTATACATATACATACATATATATATATATACATACATATATATATATATATATATATATATATATATATATATATATATATATAGACTCAGAAATTCACTGAGTGGAGGCCAAAATCTTTTCTAATTTAATAGTTAATATTCCAAGTAGGTAATTCCAAACTTTAGAAATTGAATTATCAGTTATTGGTGCAAAATGAGAAAATTGACTCAAAAGATCTTTAATTGGGAATGTCCATTTTATTTATGTTTTATGTTCTCTATAACTTTTTTAAATGATTTGAAGCAGTTCAGCAATAAAATATTCAAAACAATGGAATTTAACAGTAGAACAGAAAAATTATAATTCAGAAAAATAAATTTTTCTTGACTTCCTTTCTTACATGTTACTTCTGTTATGTATAGATGCAGCTTTCAATTTCTTGCATCTAAGCTAAGCATTCTGATTGTTGTGGGTTTCATGGCTTATTTGAAGAATTTCTTTCTTGGTAAGGGATTGAACCCATAGTTTAATAAAGAAATACTCTCCCAGCCCTATTTTCTTTTTTAATAAAGCTAAGTATGAAATTTTCCCTGAAAAAAATCAATTTCTAACTGAATCTGAAACAAGGGATTATAGGCATTCCTTACCTAAAGCATGTACAATAAACATAATAGAAAATGGTTTAAAAAAAAATTGCAACTTTGGGGCTGGGGAGATGGCTCAGTAGATTAAGCGCTTCCCTGGCAAGCACAAGGAACTAAGTTCAATCCCTGGTTCTGCAAAAAAAAAAAAAAAGAAAAAAAAAGAAAAGAAAATGGTTTTAGTGATGGATTTGTAGAAGAGATATCAAATAACGATTGCTATACTAGTTTAACCAATATATTAAGAAATTTAGAAAAACATTATAAAACATCTGTAATTCCAACATAATATTTTCCAAAACATAATTACATATTTTAAATGGTACGAAGTACATTAGTTACTATAGGATTACTTAAAATTACATTATATAACACATTTTCCAATGTTTTAAATAATTCAAATGTTGTCAATCAATGGTTAAATAATATTCATTTATACAGTTGGTTCATTTTTATAATTTTAAGACCTACTATTTACATTTCTTAGCTAATAATGTGGGTTGGCATTTTATATGGGTGTTAGATTCTGGCAGGCATATACTAAACAATTTATATGGTCAAAATCACTTATTTGAAAAAAGCCTTTTACTTACCTAGGAATTATTTATCTCTCAATGAGTCCAAAATAAGTTTTCTCTCCAGCTGTGGATCGAAGTCTTGACCCTTGAACTGAAAAAATCAGATGAAATATTTGGCTTTTCTAAGTAGTATGTTGATGAAAATTGTCAAATGTGTACAGGGTCTGCATAGTTAATTTTTAACAAATGAGTGTAGTAAGACTCATTTTGAGTATCTTCAGGCACTTGAGAGTGTGTATGTGAGGAGAGAGAGGGAACTCTTAATGTCATAGCGAGGCTCCTCCAGAGAGCATGCCTGAAGAGCGAGGACTGTGGCTCAGCAGTGGTACCTCAGTTCACAAACCTCATCTTTCCATGATGCTGGTCACAGACCAAGCTGGATGAGAACCGAATCAAGTTCAGTGATTCAGTGTTGACTATATGGGAAAACTTGATTCATTTCTTGTCGGTTCTGTTTGTGACTAAAATCATGGAAAGAATTTGAGGTACCAGTGGTATTTGTAGGAAAATGCCAAGGTCAGTTCTTAGACAATACAGGTTGTTAACTGAGTATTAAAGAAATTCAGAAATGCCTGTGAATAAGTAGTTGCCAGTACCAGAAATTAAGGTGCTTTGGATTGTTGAATAAGTGTTATCAGCCACTCCATAACGCACATTTTAAAAGAATTATTTTCTACAAAACCTAACAAACTTCTGCTATCTCAGTTGATTTTAAATAACTAGTTTAAGCCTGATACTTGGGCTCCTCTTTCTTAAGTATGTCTCACGAACCTTAAAAGCAATAGTATATGGCCAAGACAAATATCCATTTTTGAAAAGAACCATACTATTTCAATGTTTACTAAGAGGTATGCTCTTATTTTGTTGCTGTGACACTGATAACTCATAACACATGGACTCTGTAAAAGTTAAGATTTCAAAGAAAAATGTTGCAAGTAGTCACACACACATGGATAAGCTTGCATAAGGTTGTATACTCCATATTACAAGTTTATAGACTCCATGACAAGTTTATATCTCTTTAAACATTAAAGTGAAAATACTGTAAGTCAAAGATGATTTAATACTCCTGGTCAGTGTAATACTATGAATTTGATGCCCTAGACTGTAGTAAAGCTGAGTGGGGCACCATAGCGAGCATCAGGAGCAAGTAGTCTATAGTCCGATAAACCAGGAAAAGATCATAATTTAAAGTATGATCACAACTGAAAATCAAATTGAACCTTTTAAGTTGGGGCCTATGGATGCATGTGTTTCTAAATGATTTTTGGTAGGACTAGGAAAACTTCAGAACTTTGATGTGTTGACAATAAACATTTGTTTATCTCCGTGGTTTTAATTTGTAGGTTTAATTTCCGTATGCCTTCAGTTTACATTTGTTGCGCTTCAAAAGTGAGTTTAGCCTGGCAAGCTCAAGGTCCCGAGTTCGATCCCCGGTACCGCAAACAAAAAGCCTTTCCACTTATACTACTCCGTCCCTGTTTTCATATCTACCACTCTTTATTCTTTAAGGAACTATTTTTCTCAAACCAAATGTAAAGAAAGCTCTTGTTTTTGTAGTTCTAAGTCCAACAATGACAAACTTTCTGACCTAGGAATCTGGACTTCATAAAACCTGTGAGATGTTTCCAAACCTTTGGGGTTTAAGGTCGAAAGGTTGGGATCACGCACTACCTACTTAGAAATAAACAAGATGAAGTAGCATCATGAGGTCTTCAGTCACCCTCCAGGTTGCTGCGGACCACCCCTCCACCTGGCTCCTCGGGAGCGCCCGCGCCCGCCCCTCGCCGACTGCTTCCGGGTAACGGCGGAAATCACTTCCGGAGCAGCATGGCGGCCACTGAGGACGAGCGGCTGGGGGGCGGCGAGGGAGAGAGATTAGACTTCTTACGGGACCGACACGTGCGGTTTTTCCAGCGCTGCCTTCAGGTCCTGCCAGAGCGCTATTCTTCGCTGGAGACCAGCAG